AAGTCACCCTTCCCAGCAAACAAGAGGAGGAGGAGGAGGAGGATGAGGAGGAGGAGGAGGAGGAGAAAGACCAGCCTGCCGAGATGGAGTACCTTAACTCTCGCTGTGTCCTTTTCACTTATTTCCAGGGAGACATTGGGTCAGTAGTGGATGAACACTTCTCAAGAGCTTTGGGCCAAGCCAGCACCCTCCATCCAGAATCTGCCATTTCAAAAAGCAAGCTGGGGCTAACCCCCCTATGGCGAGGTAAGAATTCGAAAGCAGGTGCTCTCCAGGGCACTGTCTCTGTTTCACAACCGCCTGTACCAGGTTCCAGCTGGAAGCGTGCCCCTGGAGGACGGATATCCACTTGCTTTTTAATTTTTCAGGACAGCAAGGAATTTCTTTCAGACAAACAGCTGGATCAGTTTTGTCACATGTGGAATGCAGGGTTGGAAAGGATGTAGTCTCACCCCTTAAATTCCTCATGGAACATAGTGATGCAACTGGTCTGAGTTTATAGTGGCAGGATCAAGCTACAAAGCACCATTCCTGAAGCCCCGATGGCCCAATTTGGATCTCTAAATAATAGGCGTGCCTGAATCAGCTTTTAAAAAATTAGCTCTTGTTCATTCCACTAGGTGCTACGTGGTGACATAGCAGACATCTGAGTCTGACCCAGGAACACAGACTTTGAAAGCCTTCCGTGTTCTCTTGGTAGCTTTCTGTGTCCTGCTTTGTTGTGGTGTTAGCTCTGTCATATACAATCTACACATTACTGACTGCATCTACATGGCTTAAGTTATTCTTTTTACCTAGTAAAGTAAATCGGTAGTTTGTGTATCTGCTTCTTTATTTGCCTCTATATGGAGGTCACGGAGGGATATTTGGATCTGATTTCTGGCTCACAGAAAATTGTTGGCAACATCACAACCAGAATAATTACAAGGTTGAAGAAAAAAATCATGCACCATACCAATGATAATTTCTGAGAAATGTGTTACAGAGTTCCCCCCCGCAACTCACCGGATCATAAGAAGTAGCTAATAAAATGATTCTCAAAGTCTGCTTCCCCTGGACCAGGGGCATCAGCATCACATGAGAGTTTGTTAGCTATGCAAAGTTTTGGGCCTGCTCCATGCACATCTGCTGGATAAGAAAATCTAGGGTGAGGCCCAGTAATCTATGCTTTAATCAGCCCTCTTGGTGATTCAGATACTGGCTTAAGTTTGATGATCATTAATCTAGTGCTGTTAAATATATAGGTTGCAGCTCCCCCCCCACCCCGCATAGTTCTGACCTATTGAATCAGAATTGCCAGAGGAAAGCCCTGGGAATCGCATATGAACAAGTGCCTCAGGAGAGGAAAGGCTAGCCATCTGTGTTAGGCCACACCAAGTAAAGGGGGGCAGCTGAGCAGTGAATAGAGAGGTCTTCTCTCAGCATCAGAGGATTGCTTCTGCTCCATTGTAGGCGAGGCCTTGGCCAAATGGAATTACTGGGTCTCACCTGTGGATGCAATGTTTTTCTTTCTCTTTCTTTCCTTCCTTCCTCCCTCTCTCTCTCCCTTCCTTTCTTCCTTCCTCTCTCCCTACCTCCCTCCCTCCTATCCTTCCTTCTTTCCTGTAAATATGAAGAATGCTAAGATAAGCAGTGACTATAAAGGAGAAAGGGGAATACAAAGTTAAGTGACAGAGGCCTTAGAGATGTATTGGGAAGCTTACTGGTTATTTGATTAGTAAATATTATAGACTTCCTACAGAAACTGAGAACTGGAAGTCTAAATGATTATGGAATCAAAGAATGTCCCATTTGAGAACACCTTTAATAATTTCAATATTTTTAATAATTTGTGGAGGATAAAAGTAGGAAAACTTCAGTGAATTAACAGACTTCAAGAAATAATTTGATACATCAATAATAAGTCTTATCAGGATAATCAGTCCCAGGAGAATAATAAACACAATGTCTATTTCTTTTAGCATACTGGCATATGTAACCTAGTGATCATTTAATGTGGAAAATAGAAACTAGAACCTAAAATTATAGCTAGATGTGAGAATGCTTATCTGCAGTATCATAACCAGAATAGATTTAAGTGATGTACTGTGTATGTGTAAAAACCCTTCAACAATTCAGCATTTTTCCAATAATCTGCATGATGCAATAAAGAAAGACTTGAACAGATACCAAATTTCAGTACAGAAAGGGTGGATATTGGTAATGTTTTAGTAACTGTTATTAGAGTTTTTAGCATTATCTTAAATTTGTTCAGCAAATGTTTATTAAGCTCCTGCTAGGTTCGGTGGTAGAATTCGTGCCTTCCCATAACAAAGTTTATTAAGAAAATGTGCTGCATCCCACTTTGGTGAGTGGCATCTGGGGTCTTAAAAGCTAGC